TATATATATATATGTAATTACTCACCGTCACTTTTAATTAAAACTAAATTTAATAGGCTATTTCAATTGAACATCATTCAATAGTCATAGATAATTGATTTAAGCAAATTCAATTAAAACTTTCTGATTGACGAATTATTCAGGTGGAATTAATTAGAAGACGTCTAATTGACAAATGAAACGATCGAATTCATTAAATATCATTCAATTGACGATTGTTTTAAGTAGAGAAGACCGGAGCAAGTTGTTACAGTTAGTTGCCTCAGATGGTAGTACATTTTTTATTGAATTTTTATATGTAATTCTTGAGATGAGAGAGAAGGGAAACAGAAAGGAAGGAGAATGTCATGTAACTGAACGTTTAAGTCGATAACTACATGTATTACAGTTAACGAGGAAAATACGATCAACGCGATTAATACAGTAGAAGTATTTTTGACACACAGTTAGTCAGTGCAAGAGTACCAAGTCATTAGGCTTGGCGGGTATATTATACAGATTATGTTAATTTACGATAATAGACTGGACTAGAATGTAAGACTAGTGAGTTTAAAATAGATAGTTTCTATATTCGTTGTAAGTTATTAAAGTTTATTTAATATAATGGAATAGATATGGATTATATATAATATATAATGTAATATAATAGTATATAATGTATATGTTATGTTTGTATGGATTGTAAGGAATGTAAACTGGAAGCCAAATCCTAAACCGGGAAAATATTGCAATTTTGGATGAGAAACCTCAGTACAGAAAGAGATTGGTGTCAGAGATTATTACATATCAGGAGACAGAAACGTGGCCTCAACCTGCAGACTTGGAGGGGCTTCCCAAGGCCTACTTTCCAATTGTAGATGGACTATAAATATCAAAGCGTTGTTATTGCCAGCTAATCAGTGTACATTCTTTGTTACATTAAGATTAAATTATTAAAGATTCAGTTTTGATTTTGATGTCCGTTTGGACTATAATTAATATCAGAGTTTTTTTCCCTTCTTTTTTATTTTTCTTTGCGATTAACGTTTTAGATGTATTAAAAATTATTATTAATTTTAACATATAATTGTCACTGATTCGCTGAATGGTCAAAGATTGATTTTTGACTAAACCGATAAAATTTAAGTTTGCGATATGATGAATTTTTGTTTTAGTGAGCTTAGTGAGCTACCTTCTATTATTTTACAATAAAATCGTTTTTAAAAAGTTATTTGGTAGCCGTACTTATTTTGCAATAAAATCTTCAAAAATTGCTAATTCTGAAAAAATTATAACTTAAGTTTGAATAAAAATCATAAATTTATTATTGATATGCTAAATATAATTATAAGAATTAGAGAATGGAAAACTGCAATGTATTCTGGTATTACACTGTGAAACTAAACTGCGTTCCAACAAGTACTTTACACAGTGGAACACAATGTAACGTCTCTGTGTCCTACCTGGAAAACAGCCAGTGTGAATCCTACATTTCAAGTATGTTAGGTTCATTCGGAGCGACTCTGAACAGCTCTCGAGAGACAAATGTCCGGATCCGTGAACGCTCGCTGCTATTGGCTTATTTAGATCATCCAATAGCAGCGAGCGTTCATGGATCTGCTCCGCAACAGTTGAATGCTGAATGTGAGTTATCTGTTAAGGCACAACAGGCCTGCTTAAATACAACAGGCACAAGCAATAGGCACAGGGAATAATGAGCCATCCAATCAGAACTCTGGTGTGTAAGTTCGATATTATATTCCAGAGTTCTGATTGGATGGTACGTTATTCGCTGTTGCCTGTGCCTATTGCCTGTGTCTATTGTGTTTAAGCCTTTAACGTGATCATTTAACTATTGGCATCAGTGGCGTTATGGTCTGTGCATGGCAGTTGTGTATGAGTTTGATATTTGTTTATTACTAACTTCTAATTCCACATAAATTTTAAAAAACAACAAAAAGTTTACAAAAATATATTATAATTAAAAAATAGAAAGAAATTTCTAATTTAAAGAAAGAAAATTATTTAAAAAAAAGAGAATTCTAACAAAATGTCGAGTGGTATGTTAATGTTTTTATGTTGCAATACGTTATCTTGCAGAATTAAATTAGAATTTATTTGTCCGATCTTTGTTTATTCATTTACTTATACATGTTATCCTTCAGAAATAGAGACGAGTTTGTTGGTGATCGTTCTGGATGTGAATCCGATGCAACGTATAGTGAAGCAAGAAACCAAGATACTGTCACAGTGTTTAGACTCTACAATTGTTTTTGCCAATGCTCACCTTATGCAATCGTCCAATAATGAACTGGCGATAATGTCGTGCCATGGCCATGGTGCTAGATTTCTCTATCCTTGTGAAAACGCAATAGAAATAAGACAGATGGATGGACAGTACGAAAAATTTACCATGGTAGAACGTACGGTGCGTCAGCAATTGCAGCAAGTAATTAATGAAATCTCCATGGATGTTCCATTGAATATGGAGAGTCTTATTTCTGGTGCACTCAGTATGGCATTGTGCTATATTGCTCGGTTGGAGCGAGAAAAGGTCGCTGGCCAAAAGTTGCATCCTAGGATGCTGGTGATTACTGCCAGTAATGACTCGGCCACACAGTACATGAATTACATGAACATATTCTTCACTGCGCAGAGAATGGTTTTGTTTCTCTCTTGAATTTTTGTATTACAATAACAGAATAACAGATAATTCATAACATAAAAACATCCGCTTGGCTACTTTCAGAATGTCATTTTGGATGTATGCAGCTTGGATCAAGAGCTGACACTCTTGCAACAGGGCTGCGATATTACTGGCGGTAATTACCTGAAGGTGCCACAGCTTGCTGGATTGCTGCAGTATTTATTGGTGAATTGTGCATGCTTAATTTTATTAACACAAATGCAATTATTATGCATACTATGATTCATTTTTTTTTTAATTTAGTGGGTTTTCCTGCCAGATCCTAGTGTTAGGTCAAAATTGGTTCTTCCTCCGCCAGTAAAGGTGGATTATAGGGCAGCGTGTTTTTGTCATCAGGAACTTATTGATATTGGATACGTTTGTTCCATATGTTTATCAAGTAAGTATGAATTATATCTGATCAATAATTTAAGAATATTGTAATTGTAATGTGAAACAATGTAAAAAACAATATATAAATAAACATAATATTAAACATTATTAAATTTATCCATATTTAAAAGATATTATCGTTTTCTTTTTAGTCTTCTGTAAGTTCAGTCCAATATGTACTACTTGCCAGTAAGTTTCTTTAACTGATATTTTTTAATTATATTAAAATAATATATCATAAATGATAATTATGAACTTATTGTAAATTTTTTAAGCACGGTATTCAAGATGCCAGGACCTATGCCAATAAAGATGAAGAAGAAGAAAAAAAACGTAGACATTGTCCATTAATTGTATATTTCACACATAGCAATTACATTTTGTAAATAAAACTAACGTCATGTTGTAAAAACTGCTTTTAGGATTATAATTTTTTTTATCACAATCAGTGTAATTAATTGCATAAAATTGAACAAGTTCATTTTTAAAAAATTATATCTGTTTTAATAAATCATTTTCGAACATGTTTAAACCGTATCTGTGTATAGATGTATCCAACTATTTAAAATCAAAATTATGTTGGAATGCATAATTTGACTGTTGCTTATTCATTCTGTAATTCGTATCCCAAGTCTTGAATCGACTGCTATGTTGTGGCTCGATTATGCGCGGATGGATGTTGCGGCACGTAACCAATGCGTTCCTGAATCTCGCTCTGAGGAATCTTGCCTCCCCATGAGGGTGGATTCATGGACGAGGACGCTTTTCTTTCAGGATCTTTCTTAGACTCGTGTGCTTTCCTTATTTCCTCGTACACTTGCAGGTCATCCAAACGCATTTCTATCCGAGTTGGACTTCGTCGTATCATTTCACTGAAAAAAATAGCATTACATTGTTTTTTTTATGTATAAGGAATCTTGTCAGAATTTAATAAAAAATGATTCGCAAATATATGTGCGACTTCTGAAACGCGCTTATATTCTCCGAAAAATCAAGAATGAGTAAAATATAAATGTGAGAGAAGAATAAGAATAATCGCATAGGACAAAAAGAAAAATCTTGTTTTCTAACTTTCTTTTTCAATATATAAATCTAATCTACAATGTATTCTTTGTTTTCTATTTTTTCTTTTATCTCTCTCTTTTTGAGATTGTTTTATGGACAGTTGTGTTTTTTTTTTACTCTTTCAAAATTTGTAACTTTTATTTCGGACAACAGAAAATCAAGAAACATAATAAAAAGTAAAAAGGCAAGAGATGTCTAAAAAGTGATAAAAAGCAAGAAACAAAAAAGTGCACAGTGCATCGTAGATTAAACTTTAAGCCTTTAAATTTCGCTGAAATCGCAAGCGCTCCAAAATTAAATACGCATTCCGGTTGATTTCTCATAATCGACTAAATTTAATGAAGAATGAGGCGAAAGAGTGATAATATCTACGATGATAATTGATCCGGGCACCAAGCTTCTCGATACGTCCCTGATATCCTTCGCGTAATATGCTAAGGTATACCGGGTATACGACAAATATGGCAAATAATCCCAAACCAAGGCTGCTTCGCACGGGCCTCGTTGTCGCCCTAGCAAAGCCCGTCGTAGATCGTAGCGGCGATCGCATTCCCTTGAAAATCCCGACCGAACGTTTCAGACCGAAAGTCAAGTCTGAAGGCGTGCTAAGACTTGAAAGCTGAAAGCGCCCGAAAATACGAACAAATACGAATGCGAATTGCGGAGGGACTGGACACGCGCGGGCACGCTTTCGATCGGGCAGCGCGTTTTCCTGCAAACTCCCGCGGAATTTTGCGACTACCCGGCGACGTGCGGCGGCTACTAGTCAAGTATATCAATCGCAGGCAACCGACGGCGCGGGAAGATGCTTTACCTCGAAGATTACGTCGAAAGTGCGTAGGAGAAATGGCACGGCTCGCTCCTAGAATCCTAACCTCTTCGCATGGCGCGCGGCTAACCTAAAACCTAAAATCACCTAGAATCTCGCGGACCGATTTGTTCCGCGAGAAATGCAGCCATTTTTGTTTACGTTCCGCGGACCGCAATCCGCACCTCCTTTTGCGCGTCGATCGCGACCTGGACCTGATCGCTGTAAAATGCGACGGGGAAGGCGCGTTCGCTTGACAATGCGACCTCGCGTCAAAAGGTTAGGCGCGATGTTTCGTCGATACGACGAAACGATTGTTACTATTATCAAGATAAAAAAGAAAATAATAAATTATCATTAATAAATTATTATTTAAATCTGCAATCCATTTGTCAACATTGAATTTCATTGTACATAATTAAAATTTCATAAAAAATCTTTCTCCTCTAAAGTACAATTCCTATTTACATAGTTACAATTTTTTTGTTCAATACACTAGGATAAATAGTATATATCATAGAATATTGTCAAAAAAAAATTAATTTTGTTGAACTTGACGTTACTATAAACGAATGAAGTAAATAAAATTGTTTAATGTAAGATAATGTAGCAATTGAAGGACTTGTTGCTTACATTATATTGAATATTTTCTATGACGTAGGTCGATACAAATGTCATTCTGTTTTTGTTGCTCAAGGCATGTCAAGAAAGAAAAAACATTTGTGTCAACTTGTGACATTAAATGAAAAGACATCTATTAACTATGGAGATTATTAAGAACAAAGTATAAGTAAATTTGCAAGAATAAATAGTTCAAGAATAATTACTTTGTATAAAATATAAAACTCTAATTATCTTTTTGTCTAATGTCTGTCTTATGGTTTCAGTGATCGAGCATCTTCCACAAGAGCTACGGGACCGATTTACAGAGATGAGGGAGATGGATTTAGGTGTACAAAGTATGTATTATTTGATGTAACAGAGATAAAAATATAGTGATGAAATAATAACAGTGATAAAAAGAACTAAATTATCTGGAGACACTGGTAGTGTTTCGGCGCTAAGCTATGGCGCGAGACACGGACGTGCCTCCTTTACGCGGTAAAACTAACATCAACTACCTTCAGATTCCATGGATAGCCTGGAAAAGAAAGTAAAGACGTTTTTTTCCAATGCCAAGAAGATGAAACCCAGCGAAAAGGAAGCAGAGTACGAAGCTATCAGAAAAGAGTATTATAAGACTTTAGAAGATGCAGATGAGAAGGTGCACTTAGCCAATCAGATGTATGACTTGGTAGACAGGTACCTGAGGAGGCTCGATCAGGAGCTACACAAGTTCAAGATGGAACTTGAGGCAGACAATAAAGGTATCACCGAAATCTTGGAAAAAAGATCCCTAGAGTTGGATCAGCCACCTACAAATAGCAGCCAAAAAGAAAATCGTTACAGTTTCACGCCGAGCAGAACGCGAGATAATCATAGCCATTGTAAGTGTAGCATTTTTACATAATGTAACTTCATATTCAATTCAAATGGCTTTCAATATATATATAAAAATGAAAAATGTGTTAGTATAAATTCTCAAAAACGTCGACATTACTAGGAGATACTTTCGGATAATCTGTAAAAGTCACCAATTATAAATTATAAATTTGTAAATGGAATAAAATTATAATACATAACAATCTTTAGACGTAATCTCCAAATTTTACGCAAATTTCAGCTCGATCGGAGAAGCGACGGGACTCCAATGCATCTTCCACGTCAGTCGAAAAGAGGCTGGTGATTGAGAAGTTGCCAACAACGACAAGTCTACCGGAGTCACGGCCAGCATCAGCGAATTCCGCGCCTATTATCGCAACGAATAGTGTCACGCCGGCGCCGGCAACGATTGCTAATTCCGTGGGATCAGTATGTTATAATCTCGGCCACATCGGCGCCGGTGGTAATGCTATTGCGGCAGCAGCGTCACAGGCGATCGCGGCCACACAGTCAATGCAGCAAGGTAGACGCTCGGCTAGTTTAAAGGCAAGCTACGAGGCTATTAACACTGGTGGCGTACATGCTGCGGAATTCAGCAGGGAATTGGCCGGCGCGGCGCAAACCGCCATTGCCGCTATCCAAGAGACTACAAAGAAGCATAAAAAGTATGTAGAAAATGTATAATGAAGAAACAAACGGTAATTAAATTTACTTAAAATAATTGAATTACCCCTTATTTATAAATTCTCTTTAAGTTCCAATAATTTGGGTTAAGAGAGTAGTCTTTGTTATATTAGGGATTCTTTACAATTTTGTATTTTATTTTATGGAAAAATTTCTTGTACAGTAATTGTTCAAACAACACATTTGAATACGGTAGTGTCTCAGCGATTGAATTTGGCTATTACGAATTCTAGGAAAGTGACAGCTACTGTGCCGAGTTCGAGCGTGATTGCATCTACAGTGCAACAGCCTGTGTCTCCACCAGTGGTTACCACAACCACGCAAGTAGTGGATCCAGACAATCCAGATTGGACATACGATCCGAACGAACCACGCTATTGCATATGCAATCAAGTTTCATACGGCGATATGGTTGCTTGTGACAATTCAGACGTAAGACCGTCGACATGTTCAAAGTATATATGTATATATGTATACATATATACACACACACACACACACACACACACACACACACACACACACACACACACACACACATATATAAGTGAATAGATTTATGATTGCTTTTTAGTGCCCCTTTGAATGGTTTCATTATCCATGCGTGGGGATCACTGCACCACCAAAAGGGAAGTGGTATTGCCCTCAGTGTACGTCCTCAATGAAAAGACGTGGCGGACGGAAGAACTGATTAGGTGAGAAAAAGAAGAAGCTAAGGAACCATGTTGACCACATTAAGAAAGCATCGCTGCTACTACCTCTTAGATACTGTCCGTCAAGTACCAACTTAGTTAGGAAGCTGTTTTTAGCTCTGATTTTGTATAACTTTTTTAATGTGCTGTTTCGAGTCCGCGTCATCATTTTGATCTTCGGTCTTCTCTTTTCGTAATTGACCGAGTATAAAAATGACAATGTTATTCTATTAAAATCTCGAACATTTAATAGTATATCGAATTGAAAGCTTTTGTAAACATCTCAATGTGTTTCGCATACTGCCGTTATCTCCGAGCAATAAAAGGCAAGGTGAATACAAGATTAATTCGGAAAATATAAGAATCATTATAATGTATTCTTCGATGAGTTTTAAATTAACTGCTTCTCCTCAAAAACTTATGAGTTAGGTATTGGCTCTTTAATGAAGAATTTTTCGACAAATTAGATTGTAAATAAATAAACTCCATTTTTTAAAAGTAATTTTAGATGAGTCTTTAGTTTAGTAGAAATTTAATTTTACGTAAAAGTTAAACCTTTAGTATTTAATATTGAAAATAATAAATTTACTTTTTTGATGAAGGAAAACAATGAATGAATTTTGGATTTGTTTGAGAATAGCAACTATTTGGAAGCCACTTTATAAACGAACTACTAATTTCGAAAGGAGAATTGTAGCGAATTGATGTGTAAATAAAATATCTATGCAAGGTGAATATTGCCAAAACGAATGATTATATTTCTTTTCACCATTAATTAACCATTAGCACCGTTCGAATTTATTTCAACTTTCAATGCTATAAAATCACGAAATGTAGTTCATAATATATATTTTGAATTTTATTTCTTGCATAAAAATATTAATTCGAGATTTACATTTATGATTGTTTATGAATTTTCCAGAAAATTCCTCGGAAAACTTTATAGTTACGTATTATATTAATTTTGAAGACTATCCTAGTAATCTTCCCTTATGTATACACAATAATTCTTTCTTAAAATTTTAACAAACGGAAGAAAAATCAGCAAAACAGCAAAATGAATATAATGAATATAAATAATATTATGGAAATAATAACAGATATTTCCATAACATATTTTATTTTTAATTCCATTTCATTATCGCAAACGACTTTGTACTATTAATAGATACTACATAATGTAATATATTATTCTTATATCGACGACTCGATTGTGAAAAATCTTTATGGATATTAATCCTATCTTGCGCCAATATATTCTCGGAATTAATGGATATCCTGCCGAAGCTTCGTGACATTTTGAAATGATTGTCTGATATTTATATAATCAGTTCTTATAATTAAGATCACTTAAATATAGTTTTAAGATGTTATAAATCAATCATAGAGCTTATTAGCATCTTAAGACATTATTTAAGATGCTCTTTTTAAAATAAGAACCTATTATGAATATCGACTTTTGTGTCATCTATACGTTTATATTTTTATTTCTCGTTCGAGATATCGAATTGTAAAATACAAATTCTCGCACACGCAATTGCTCTAAGCTTTTACTTGATGCTCGCCATGTTCTTGGAACCATTTCATCCTTATTGTTTATCAAATGTTAAACAAGAATAAGTAATACGCGAGCGTTATGAGTGCCGATTGGAATGCAACTCTAAATAAATTCTAAGGGCACCGAGAGTTTAAAAGCAGAATTGTAACGAATTAATTGATATATAAATAAAGTGAACCATGTAACAGAGATGAATGTCGTTACCAATATAAACATTTTCGTCGATTAATCGC